GACATGCTTTGTGTCACGTGCTCCAGCGGGCCACAGTCCCTATTATAAACGCTGCACATAATTCCTTCTGACTCCTGTTTACCTCTCAGGAACCTCTCCTCACTGACTCACCTCTGACCTTCCTCCTCACGCCTCCACACCGCTCACCCCATGGCTCTGGCCCGCTGACCTTCTTTACTTACACTGACTCTCTTGTCCTGGTTCAGCCCTGGAGCCTGTCACCTTTGCTCCCCCCTAGGGCAGATGAGGTTGACTTTTTTTTGTTTGTTTTTTCTTTTCTTCCCATTAGCCCTGCAGCCCAGTTTGGGACCTGGCAAACAGGCTCATTAATAACCATTTGATTGCCCAAATTAAAACCAGCTCCATAGAGAAGAGCAGCATCTGAATGGTAACTGGCTAGCTTTCTTCTTTCATCTCTGCGCCTTTTATGACTCTCTCCTCCCTATCTGCCGTCAACTTTGCACCGTTTATGGCGACCGCCTGTGTCTGTAGCTGGGAACCGTCTCTAAGCTGCTTGCTATCTCAGTCTCCCGTCTAGAGAGCACTTCCTTGTATGCTCACAACTGCAAATCTCATGACGATCCTTCAAGCTGCGACTGCATTTCCTCATTCTGAAGACAAAGAAACTGAGGCTCAGAGAGGCTGAGGGACCTGCCTGAGGTCACACGCATGGCCTGGGAGAAGCCAGCAGGCATTGGACCCCTCATGCTTGAATGGATACTACTCCCAACTGCTGACCACCTACAAGAGCCCCTGGGTTAAGAGATGCAGGATTTCAAGGAGACTCCTACTGTCTCCACACTCTTAATTACCACAGAAAGAGCCACACCAGGCTCTCCAAGACCATGGGTGATTCCCACGCAGCCAGCACCTCCAGCCTAGCCAGGAGAGGCAGAGAAATCTGTGGCCCTGTGGTTACTGATCTAACGACAGCCCCGTCTCCCCAGACAGCCAGAGAGTTAATGATTAAGGAAGGATTAAATATTAACCACCTGTGGCATAATGTCTCAGTCTGTACCTGAGCCTATCTAAAAATACCTGCCCTGCTGTGGGCCAGCCCCACACAGGGCCTCTAAGCCCCTGTGCCTGGCTACCTCCTCCTGAGGCGCCCCATCTGCGGCCCTGAACCTGCCTTTAGCCACCTGGTCCCATGCTATCCCATACTTTCTCTCTGCATTCAGTTTCTACCAGCTGCTTCGTAGCACACACCACACCACCTGAGGCACTCCTGGTGGGCTTTCTGGAAGAAGGGCCAGCTGTCACTGGTTCCTGGGCAGAGGACGGTCAGTGGGTTACATCCCTATGTGAGACTTTGTTTATCAGGATCCTTGTCTCCTCTTGATCCCTCTGATCTCCACACCCAGGCCCCAGCACCCCAGGCCCCAGCACCCCAGGCCCCGCACCCCAGGCCCCAGCACCCCAGGCCCCAGCACCCCAGGCCCCAGCACCCCAGGCCCCAGTGTCGCCGAAGTCTAACACCCAGGACCCCAGGCTCCAGGACCTGGCTACGTATTTCACTGAAGAATCCCAGAAAAGCTCTTCTTGACTTTCTTCTGGAAGTTAGGCCCTGGGTGGCTGCCTGCAGAAAGCTCCTCACATCAGCTTAGGGTCTGGGGTCTCTGTAGCTCTCACTCCCCAGGTTCCCAGGCCTGAGAGACCCAGGGCTGCTCAGCTGCAGGAAGCGACATCTGTAAGAAGGATCCTTTGAAGTTCAATTGAGCAGCCCTGGAACCCTCCACAGATTAGGGACAAGAACACCGGAGAGGCCCTCTTATTCAAGGACTGACTCCACATTAGGGCTTACACCTGCTCCTGTGGGGGTGGGGGTGGGGGACATCCTGAAAGATGGCTCAGTAGTTAAGAGGCTGTGCTAGTCCAGAGGTTCTGAGTTTGGTTCCCAGCTCCTGGGAGCTCAGCAGGAAGCGGGGTTACACAACACCTCTGACCTCTGTGGAGATGTGCATGGACATGCACCAGGACATGCAATTAACAATGATAACAACATATCTTTAAAAGGATCTCTGAGCCATTTGGTGGTGGCACACGCCTTTAATCCCCTGCACAAGGGAGAGGCGGGGTGGGGGTGGGGGCTGGGAATCTTTGAGTTTGAGGCCAGCCTGGTCTACAAAGCAAGTTCCAGGACAGCCAGGGGTACACAGAGAAACCCTGTCTGAAAAAAAGAACAAAGAAGAAAAAAGAAAAAGTCAAAAGGAAGAAAGAGGAGGAGGAGGAATAGGAGGAGGAGGAGGAGCAGGAGGAGGAGGAGGAAGAGGAGGGAGAGGAGGAGGAGAAAGAGGAGGAGGAAGAGGAGGAGGAAGAGGAGGAGGTGGAAGAGGAGGAGGAGCAGGAGGAGGAGAAAGAGGAAGAAGAGGAGGAGGAAGAGGAGGAGGTGGAAGAGGAGGAGGAGCAGGAGGAGGAGGAGAAAGAGGAAGAGGAGGAGGAGGAAGAGGAGCAGGAGGAGGAGGAGGAAGAGGAGGAGGAAGAGGAGCAGGAGGAGGAGGAGGAGGAAGAGGAACAGGAGGAGGAGGAGGAAGAGGAACAGGAGGAGGAGGAAGAGGAACAGGACGAGGGAGAGGAGGAAGAGGAGGAGGAGGAGGAAGAGGAGCAGGAGGAGGAGGAAGAAGAGGAAGAGGAAGAGAACCAGGAGGAGAAGGAGGAAGAGGAGGAGGAGAAGGAAGAGGAGCAGGAGGAGGAGGAAGAAGAGGAAGAGGAGGAGGACCAGGAGGAGGAAGAGGAAGAGGAGGAGGAACAGGAAGAGGAAGAGGAGCAGGAGGAGGAAGAGCAGGAGGAGGAAGAGGAAGAGGAGGAGACTTCAATGGGGGATGCCTCAAGGGCAAGTCACCCCACCCCCGCCCCGTGCGTCACTCTAAGCAATGCTGCCTCTGAACAGAGGATGGTTTCCAGCCAGCCCTGACAGGGCTATCCTATGGAGTCACAGTGTTCTATCTCAGACTCAGGGCTGCCCCCTGCACTGGTCCAACTCCCCCCCCCCACACACACACACCCCAGCTTATTCTTGCAGCTTTAAGTTGCTCCTCTCTGCCCTGGCATCCCCGGACTTCTGTCTCAGCCTTCTCACCACCCTTGGCAGTGACCCCAGGGCTTCCCAGGGCTCAGGAAATGTTTGTCAGCCATGCACAGTGTACCTCCCTTCACCTCCTCCCTACTCACCTTCACCAAGTCACAAGTTCAGGTGACTCAGGTGGAGCAGAGAGGGAAGCAGTGTCTGAAGGTGTGTTGGGTTTTGTCAGATATGATGAATCTGACTCAGTGGGTCAGTGGGGAATGAGGGAGACATTGCAGCATTGCCTCCTGGTCTGGAGGAACCTTCTGGTGACACGGACCCTGATTTTGGATCTATCTGCAGACTGCTGCCCGGCCAGACTGCAGGTAGTAGGCATGGAGTTTTCAAAGGTCAGAGCATGGTAAGGTCCAGTTCAAGGAGGCACAGAAGGAGTTAGAAATAAGGGCGGGGCAGAGCAGGAGAGGAAAGGAGCCAGGGCGTGGAGCTCACGAAGTGAATGGAGGCCCAGTGCTAACTGCCCTCTGGGCAGAGTCTCAGTTTAATACCGGTAGAGAAGGGTCTAGGTGAGCAGAGCTCTGGCCTGGCACACTTGTCCCTCTGTGAGGACAGCTTCATGGATATGCTGACTGTGTAGGCTCTTGGGATCCCAAGCTAGGAAGAACACAGTGGCTGCTTAAATGCTCAAGCAAGTGCTCTCCCGCTGAGCCACACCCTACCCCACCTGATGAAAACAGGGAGCAAAGCCCCAAACATTTTGTGTCTTGTTTAGTCATGCCCTTTAGTTGAAATTTTAAATTTTCTACACACAGATTTTTATAAGTTACTTTTTTGTTTATTTGTTTGTTTGTTTATATTTTGAGATTGGGTCTCATTATGCAGCCTTGGCTGTCCTGGAATTCACTCTGTAGACCAGTCTGACCCGGAACTCAGAGATCTGCCTGCCTCTGATTTCCAGCTGCTGAGATTAAAGGCATCCTCTCTCTGATTCTCTGTTTGTTTTCCATTTAGTATGTGCACTCTACTTAGTAGTTCTCTCCAGAACTCCTCCTGAGGTACACTTCCCTGAGGTATCTTCACAGCCAAATGGCCAGTGTGACAGGTCGCCCAGGGGAGAAGCAGAGAGGCCCCAAGCACCAAGGCTCAGGCTTACTTATGTCAATTGGGACAAAGGCACAGAACTGCCAGGAGGTGCAGAGAAGAGAAAAGGGTTTTTTTTAGGAGATAGGGCTTTGGCTAGAACACTCCAGAACAGAGGCCACACAGGAAGGTCTTCATCACTGGACGAGCAGGACTACTGTGGGGCCTCAGGCAAGCACATTTTTACTCTCTCTTGCCAGAAAGAGGAGGCTACGTGGCTATTCTGGGGCTGGAAAAAACAGAAGTTGAGTCCCCGTGTGTCCACTGTCACCTGCAGAATGCTCATCTCAAGGCACTCCTTTGTGTAACCGCAAGTAAAGTGTCTCCTTCTACACACCCCTGAGCACGGGTGCAAAGCGTGCATCTTCCAAGGCTTACCTAGTGTTTCCGAGTGTGTGTGCTCCTGGCTGCAGCAGCCTGCCTGCCTCATCCTCCATGGCTCCAGAGTCTGGGCTCCGAGAAGCAGAGCCTGACATTCTTTATACCCCAGGGCGAGAGCTATTTCTCTAGGGGTCATGTAATGGTTCCTCCCCCAACTCCCAACCTAGAGGTAGGGCAGTGACTTCAGTCTCCCCGGAGAGACTCACCTTTAGAGGCTGACTGTAGGTCAGCAAGGAGGACCAGATTTGCAGGGGCTATGATCCTATCGATCCCAGGGAACACAGGTCTTAGCCTGCAGGACCCCTAAACCTTCTGAGGACTGGAGTCAGGTTGGGGTGGCCATCGCTGTCCTAACTGGCTTTAGAGCATCTTCTCCCAGTTTTTTCTTTTAAATGCATCCCTGTCCATGACTGGTGCCCGCCTCCCTGTGGACCTTTGTTATTAAACACCCTTACCCTCTTTTCCAAATAACTTTATTCATCCTCTCAATTCTGACCACAGGACATTGCTCCCTGACACCTGAGTATTACCACATGCTCCCTGACACGGAGACTTAGCCCCAAGACTCTGTCTTCAACCTCAGCTCAGAGCTTCTTCAGGGTAAGAAGTGCTGTCCTTGACCAGTGGAACCTGGGGTTGGTCTGGAGCTGGGGTCTAATCTCTGAGTGGGAGGGGGCATCAAGGCTGAAAGAAGTAAAAGGTGAGGGCTGGTGGGTGGGGTGGGAGGAAGTGTGAGCTCAGGGCTGTACTTTGTGAACCCAGGCACCTGGGAAGCTGGGGCTGGGCTAGACAAGTGGCCAGTAGGAAAGTCTGTCCACGGTGGGAGGTGATGAGGTCCCAAGTCTCAGCTGCCTGGTTCAGATGCAGCCTTCAGGAAGCCAGGGCGAGCACTCAAAGGCTGCAGGCCTTGAGTAGTCAGTTTGTTTCCATGCTTGCCAAGCTAACAGCCTCCCCCTAACCCACTCCCTCTTGAGTGGCCCCCCTACCACCAGGCCAACTGGTTTGGTTCAGCTGCAGAAACCGCCAAACTGTCTCTCTGGAACCCAACAGGAAGCTGAGGAGAAGGGGGCCAACGGCTGGGGATCTTTGAGCCTCCTCCAGGAAACTGTGGGAGAGAGAAGGGACAAAGACAGGCCCTGATCTCCTGCACCAGTGCTGGGAGCCCCCCAGAGTCTCTCTCACTTCCTCAACTTTCCCAAGTAGCTATTCCCAAATCCAATTCCCCTGGCAACAGGGAATAGAAAGGCACTAAAGGAGAACGACCAGCAACACTCCAGAGTGGTTGACAGGTTACAGCAGATGAGACCACACTGACAAACTGTCACCCAAAGTCCATAATTTACACTGGGGCTCACTGTTAGCTGATACAGTCCGAGATAATTATAGTACTACCATGCAGAATAGTTTCCTGCCCTAAAAACCCTCTGGGCTCACCTGCTTGTCCCTGACTCCGCCCTCCAGCAGCAGCTGAGAGTTGATTATCTCCAGGGTCCTTTCCCAGAATGCCATTTAGTCAGTATGGTGATGTAGCCTTTTCAAATGGACTTCTTTCACTTGTCAGTATATATGAAGCTAGGGCTAGAGAGGCGGCTCAGTGGTTAAAGGTGACTGTTGCTCTTCCAGAGGGACCCAGATTCTATTCCCAGCCGCAATGTGCCAGCTCACAAGCATCTGTAACTCCAGCCCCAGGGGATCCAACACCTTCTTCTGAACTCCAAAGGGCCCAGGCACACACGTGGTACACTTATATATGTGCAAGCAAAATACCCATACACATAAAATAATAAATCTAGAAAATACATGTGGAGCTTCTTTCAGCCTGATGACTGAGCAATAGTCCATTGCTGGGTGTACCATGGGTTATGTGAAGCCTTGAAGAACATCTTTTCTGATTCTGAGTTCTGGCAAATAAGGATAAAGCTGCTTAAACATTTGTGTCAGGTTTGGGAATGGCTATATTCTCAATTTGTTTGGGTAAATGCCAAAAAGCACTGTAAGAACACACTTCCTTGTATAAGGAATTGACAACCTACCTCCCAAAGTAACTGTCCCACCTTGTATTCCTACCAACACTGGATGAGAGCTCCTTGTATCCTGGCCAGCATTTGATGTGACTGCATTCTGGATTTCAGCCATTCTAATAGGTGTGGAGTGGGTGTGGTGGTATCTTTTTGTTTGTTGTTTGCTTGTTTTGTTTTATCATCCTTTTAAAAATGTGTATGTGGCCAGATATGGTGTCGAAGAGGCAGAGGCGATGGATCTCTGAGTTCAGGGACAGCCTGGTTTATGTGTCAAGTTCAAGGCTAGCCAGGGCTATGTAGAAAAGATCGAATTTCAAAAAGATAGGTAGGTAGATAGATAGATAGATAGATAGATAGATAGATAGATAGACAGACAGGTGTATGTGTTGAATGTGAGTCTATGCACATGAATGGAAGCGCCTGAGGAGGTGAGAAGACGGCACTGGATCACCTGGAGCTGGACTCTCCCAGGTGGGTGTTGCTGGGCTCCTGACAGGGAATTGAACTCAGGCCCTTTGCAAGAGTTGTATGCCCTCTTTACTGCTAAGATGTCTCCCCAGAACCTTCTTAGTCTTACTTTCTGTGGTGCTAAAGTTGGAAACCTGGGGCTTGGAGATAAGCTTTTTATACTAGGTACATTCTCCATACACCTCAGCCCTGTTGAGCTACACCCCAGCAATACCCCAGCCTTGCTGTTTGCTTTTTTACAACCCCCTACCCCTGCTGGGGTTTTTGTTTGTTTGTTTTTCTTTTCTGTTTTTGACCCAGGATCTCTTGTGGCCCAGGTTGGCCTTGAACAGCACACTATGTAGCCAAGGATAAACTAAACTTTTCATCTTCATACCTGCTTCTCCAGAGTTCTGGAATTACAGGTGTGTGTGACACCATTCTGTTTATGTGGTACTGGGGATTTGAACCCAGATCTTTGAATTTGATCTACTTACCAAACACTCTACATACGAACTGAGCTACAACCCCAGCCTGGTGCCTAATTTTTGAAATCACAGTTCCAGAGTTATGTTTGATGTTATCTGAGTCCTCTCTTCTTGGAACACTCTGGAAGCCGATCACTTTAGGTCTCAGGCCTGGTCTATCCCCAGCTCACCCTTGATCATCACCTTCCTAACCTGGTCTCAAGACTCTCGGCTTATGAAGTATCGCTCTCATTTGGGAGTGGGGGTGGGGTCTGTCCTCCAGGGAAGGGAGCAGTGGCTTGGTATAGTTGTCAGGAGCAACCACGGGCACAGAGACTGTAACCTGCTTCTCCACCCTGGGCCACCAAGGACTGCAGACTAGGGCTGTAGCCAACCAGAGCTGAGGAGAAGGTTGGATGTGGATGCTGAAGCCTGCAGTCTTCCACACTTCCAACTTCCTCAGAAGTTGAGGCAGGAAGGCCTAAATGAGTTTGAAGCCAGCCTGGACTTACACGTGTGTCTGAGGCCATTTTGGGCTAGAGAGTGAGGTCCTGTCCCCAAAACACAGAACTAAACCAAACTATTAAAAACAAAGCCAAGCCGGGTGGTGGTGGTGCACGCCTTTAATTCCAGCACTTGGGAGGCAGAGGCAGGCGGATTTCTGAGTTCGAGAGTTCAAGGCTAGCCTGGTCTACAAAATGAGTTCCAGGACAGCCAGGGCTACACAGAGAAACCCTGTCTCGAAAAAACCAAAAAAAAAAAAAAAAGAAAAAAAAAGAAAAAAGAAAGAAAAACCAAACAAAACAGACATACAGACATTGTGCCTGGCTCTTTCCCCATAGTAAAGGAGGCATAGCTCACACCTGAAAGGTGATTTCAGAGTCTAAGGCCTGTCCTGGGTCCTTCAGAGGCCATCCTAGCCATGACTAAGAGCATCAGCTAGGTGGGACTGTGTCCCCAAGTACTAGCTCCTTCAAGCCCCATCCAGGGCCCTTTCACCCACAGGCAGACGCTCCCTGTCCTCAAGAGCAAGATCTGACAAAAATCACACTCCATCCTCACCTACTCTCAGTTCCTGCTTCCTTTCTGACTACAGAGAAAGAACAGAATGGCTCAGATAGCATCTGTTGACGTTTAAAAACAGTACTCATGTATGCAGTAAAACAGTCAAACAGAAGAGAAAGGTTTTGAGTAAAAGGAAGTAGCTCCCCCCTGCTTGTCCAGCCTTGCTTTGAAGGGGACCAGTTAACAGAGTTTAGGGTAGCCTGCTGGCAAAGCATAGATGCCCACCCCAGCAAACCAGCATGCGCATGTCTGTCAGATTCATGCCTCCTAGCACAGAGCGTCAAAGCCCCGCAGGAACACGCTGTTCTTCCTTCACTCTTCATTCCTGAGTAGAGGCCTAGACACCCTCTACTCAGCTCAGACAGCCCTACCATTCCCTGGTCAACTGGAATCCATTTCACAGCCTGGCTATGGTGGCTGGGCCCCCTGCAAACAGGCCTCTGTCCAGTGACCTGAGAGAGTATTGTAAATGCCCGCTTACCTCTCTCCTAAGCACCCGTGGGCAGATCTGCGCCAGAATCTGGTTGGCCCGCCTCAGAGCCCAGAAATCTGAGCACAATTAAAGCAAGACATGCAGAGAGGCCCCAAGGCACAGAGGCCCAGTGGCTTTGGGAGACAATCTTGTCTTACTGGATTCTGGTCCCACCTCTGTAGCTTGGGGCAAGCCATGAGACTTCAAACAAAATAGCTGAATGAATGGGATGCTAGACCTTTCTGGAACTTACCGGCTGTTTGATGAGATGAAATCTATACACCTGTTTCCAGGGACCGGTGAAGGCAGGTGCGGAAGGAGGCTGAGAGAACCTGGCCGAGAGAGACTGTGTAACTTACCCAAGGACACAGCCCATCACTGGGAAACCAGGCTGGAAGCAAAGTGGTCCTCAGGACCCAAGGCTCCTTCTGGAATGTTGGATGGCAGTCCTGAGAAGGCAGGAACATGCAAACGTGTCCAGGGATGGCCAATTTAGGGGAGAGGGGACATTGTGTGAACCAGAGTTAGAGCAAGGCATATATATGTACCCCCACATCCCTACAAACACACTGGGCAGAGTTAAGAGCTCACAACTTTCTCTAGACTTCCTCTCCCACAGAGCCTGGGACCAGGAGGAGTTCTATAGAGTTCAACTGCAGGTGAGAAGTGTCAGTAAGATTTGTGGGGTGTACCCCGTGGAGACTGGGAAAGGCCCCCACATTACTGATTAACATTGTGTGTTAACAAAGTATACCTTACATATTAAAAAAAAAGTCTTTGCATGACAGATTCCTGCACAGGAGGTTAGCCCTTCTAGTTCACGGGCCATAGCCTGCTCCCAACACAAAAAAGCCTTAAATGGGTTGGCCTAGCTATCCCAGGAAAGCAGAGGAACAAAGACAGTGTGGCTCTGGGTCCCAGGACCTCCCGGGCTAGCAGCCCTGGGAGATGCTTCCTCAGCATCAGGACCATGCTCAGGCACTTCTCCCCAGCTCCCCTTTTCTGTTGCAGTGTCCAGGAACCACAGGGGTCCCCTAACTCCTGTCACTTTCCAGCTCTCTGGGTTTCACCCATTTGCCTCCTTGATTTGGGAGTCCATGCTGGCAAAGAGAATTTGATCTTTCTCCTTCCCTCTCCTGCATAAGAGCCTCGGCCTACTCGGTGACAACCTTGCTAAAGCCTTCTCAGGGAAGGGACTCAAGGTCAAGGATGCTGGGAACCTGTGGCCCTCATTTATTTATTTATTTATTTATTTATTTATTTATTTATTTAATCTTTTTTGGCTTTTTAAGACAGGGTTTCTCTGTGTAATCCTGGCCATCCTGAAACTTGCTCTGTAGACCAGGCTGGCCTCGAACTCACAGACATATGCCTGCCTCTGTCTCCAGAGTGCTGGGATTAAAGGTATGCACCACCACCACCACCACACTGCCTCTGACTCTCTCTCTCTCTCTCTCTTTTTTTTTTTTAAAGAAGATTTATTTTATGTATGTGAGTACACTGTCACTGTCTTCAGACACACCAGAAACGGGTATTGGATCCCATTACAAATGGCTGTGAGCCACCATGTGGTTGCTGGGAATTGAACTCAGGACCTCTGGAAGAGCAGTCAGTGTTCTTGACCACGGAGCCATCTCTCCAGCCCCTGCCTCTGACTCTCTTAAAAGCCCCAGGATGGAGTCTTGGCTGCAGATCTCCGAGTCAGAACCCAACCTTCCTGGGGCCAAGAAGGCCATCTGAACTACAAGGTGTCATCTCCTACTTCACTCCCACAATGCCCTGCCACAGGATTGGCTGAAGACTTCTTTGAGTTCTAGAGAAATGCTTAGGCCTCATCTCTTGCCCTTAGGCCAAGCTGGTGGAAAACAAGAACCCTAACTTCCTAGGGGTGGACTGGTCCTCACAGCTGACCTGGTACCTGAGATTTGTCTTGAGATTTGAGAAGAGGAGAAGGTGAGGGCGGGGTACTATCTCCCTAGTGAAGAGCTCAGATAGGGGAGGCTAGTCTATGGCAGGTATAATCCCAGAAGCCTTCCTGCAAGCAGCAGCATGGTTCAGGCGACAGCACCAGGAGGTTGCTGCTGTTGGAGACACTGGGGTAGGAGTGAAAACAGCTGAACTGAACCCGACTGTGGATGGGTAGAAATGCAGCAACCACTCTTTGTTAAGCAACTACTTTGTACCAGGCTATTCAAGGAATTTGGAGGGCTGGGGGTGGGGCTCAGTGGGTAGAGTACTTGTCTAGTATGTACCAGGCCATGGTACTGCTATGCAGTATATCTGATGTGCCCACCATCAAAGGCGTCCCGACCCACAGGTTGAGAACCACTGCTCTTGGAGCTGATGAGAATACCCAGTCAAGGTGTCTTGCCCATCAGACCACCCAGGAAAGGATTGCATCCATCCCCAGTGCTGCAAGACAAACAAACCACTTGGGACACAGTAAAAGAGATCTCCCTTGCCTGGCAGTGGTGGCACACACCTTTAATCCCAGCACTTGGGAGGCAGAGGCAGGCGGATTTCTGAGTTCGAGGCCAGCCTGGGCTACAGAGTGAGTTCCTGGACAGCCAGGGCTACACAGAGAAACCCTGTCTCAACACCCCCCCCAAAAGAGAGAGAGAGAGAGAGAGAGAGAGATCGATCTCCCATACTTCTGGGCATAGGTCTCCTCCCCTGCAGCTGACGTTTTAGTGGAAACAGACTTAAAAGGCAAATAGCTGAAGTATGCCATGTATTAGGGAAGGTCTTGGAGGGGGAGTGAGAGCCAGAAAGAGAAGAGGTGAGGGGTCAGGGGTACCAGGAGGTGGGTAGGGTCAGGGGTAGGGGTTGACTTGAATGCTAGGTGCAGAAACAAGACTTGACCAACCATGAGCAGCACAGAAGAGATGTCAGAAACAGGACCTCAGTGGTACGGCTAGTCCTGTGTGTGTGCAGGAGGGAAGCTGAGAGGCTGGGTGACTGAGTGTCCAGGAGCATCCTGTGGCTTCCAGTCCTTTCCAGGGTGGGCTGGTGGGTAAGACACCCTGACTAGGTGTTCACATCAGCGCCTAGAGCAGAGGTTCTCAACCTGTGGGTCGGGACCCCCGAGGGGAGGGGCGGCAGATCACGTATCCTGTGTACAGATATTTACATTATGGCTCACACCAGTAGCAAAATTACAGATATGAAACTGCAGTGAAGTAATTTTATTGTTGGGGGGTCACCACATACAACAGTGCCTGTAATCCTCTTGGAAGCTTTGGAGGGAGTGTGCTGGCTAGCTGGCTAGTCTCATTTTGCACTTGAGGAAACAGTCTCAGAGATCCCCATGAACTGCTTGAAGTGAGACAGCGTTGGAACTCAAGACCGCTCTTCACACACCATTCAGATGTGTCCGTCCCATCCCCATCCCCCACTCCCATGCGGATCAGTCCAAACCATGGCCTTGTGCATGGCAGGCAAGCGCTCTACCACTGAGCCACACCACCACTTTCTCACTCTTGTGAATAAAAGGTCTCGGTCAATTCTGACAATTAGTTATTTGACCAAATAGTAGTTCACAGCTACCAGCTACCTACTAGTCACAGAGTTAGCTATAGCTTTTGAAAATATAGAGGCCAAACAGGTAGGCCTCTGTCAGGGAAGGCAGGCCTGGGAAGGATTTCCTGCCTTCATGAGCCTGTAGGTATGAGGACACCAGGCTGGGGTACCCACTGGAGCTGCCAGCCACTTACACAACCATGGCCACAACCATGGGCTATTCATTTAACCTCTCTCCAGGAAGTGCATTGGTAGGGCTGCTGTGAACACAGCAGACCCTAATGAGGACACTTCCAGGGTCTGGGTTTGGTGGAGTGTGACCACTATTATTAAAATGCATAGCTGGAGAACAAGGGGAGACTGTGCAAGGCCAGATGTCCAGCTGGCCTTCCAGAGGTGCCTGAGGAGTTTAGAGCACAGGTGGACTGGGCGGTGTGTGTTTCCAGGGCTGCAGCACAGGTTTCTGCAAGGGGAGGCCTCAGGTATAGGGCTCAAGGGCTGGGAGGCGCCAGGCTGGGGCCATGGGTGCAGGGAGGAGGAACCTGACGGTGTGTTTGGAAGGTAGGGCGAGCAGGCCTCGAGGTCACAGGCACAAATGGGTAAGCTTCCTGCATGTCAGTGAGGTGATTAGCTCCAACGTTGGGGACAGGCCTTGTGACAAGAGAGCCCCAGAGGCTTTAACGAGAGGACCACTGTGGGGCGAGGGATTTGTAGGGGATGCATGACCCACAGCAGACCAGGAGGAGGCAACAGTCTGATCCCAGCCCTTAGGCCAGTCTCTGTAGTCAATCCCAGAACTGCAGAGTTTCTCTGACCCTTGGCCTGGGCCACAGTGCCCAGACCAGCCCCCAGGGCCTTGGGCGGTGGAAAGTGAGGCCAGGAGGAGCCTGGCTGTCCAGGGCTGCCTGCTGGAGGGCAGGAGGGAGAGAGAGGACTTTATATTGTCTTTCCTTCCCTCCCCCAGGTGCCTGCCGGTTACACCACTGTGGTTTGGCGGCCCCGGGGAGCTCTCGCATTGGGTAATGCTGGACACAACGGCTCCTAAGGCGCGCACATTCTCACAGGGCACCACATACGCTGTGCTCAGTCACCTGCCTGCCTCACCACCACTCACGCTTAAGCACACCTACACACACCCTCTCACACGGTGGCAGCACACTGGCAGGGCCTCCCCCAGAGATCTGTGAGGTGTCTTCCCAGTCTTTGTCCCCTAGGCTCCAGGAGCCCCAAGCCCAGAGAGGTAGGGAAAGAGCAAGTAGTCTCCAGAGTAGAGACCTTGTCCTGTAGACGCCAGACCCGGGAGATAAAAGGGGAGGGAGTACGGAGGGGGAGGGTAGAAGAGGGACGTAGAGTTGAGATGCGGTAGGAAGGAGTTAATTGTGGCTCTTTTAGGGAACTGCTATGACAGCGGGGTCTTGTTGTTGTTGTTGTTGTTTGAGACATGGTCTTTTAAAGTCCAGGCTGGTGAATTTGAACTTCTGATACTCTTGCCTCTGCCTTCGGAGCGCTGAGATTACAGGTGTGGGCCTGTGCCTAGGTATTGCTCGCCCCACCCCAGCCAGGAGGTGAGCTTTTGAATGCGCATGCGCTTTGCTTCACAGCCCCAGAAGAAGCATCTTGAGACCTGGCGTAGCACTGCTAGGGCTTGTGAGACCTAAGTCCGAGAGCCCGTGATACAGCTGCTCAAGCGGACCACTTAAAAAGGAGAAAGCATTGGAGGAGGGGCCAGTGAGTGTCCATCTCCAGGGTCAGCATCCTAGGTAGTGAGAGGAAGCAGACATCTGCCATGGAGAGGAGACAACCCCTCTCCCTCTCCTCTCCCTTTCTCTCTCTCTCTCTCTCTCTCTCTCTCTCTCTCTCTCTCTCTCTCTCTCTCGTGTGTGTGTGTGTGTGTGTGTGTGTGTGTGTGTGTGTGTAAATACGAGGTGGT